TCAAAATAAAAAAAAAAAAAAAAAAAAAAATTAGTAGTACTACATGTCTTGATCACAACTCAATACAGTAGTAGTATTTATTTGCCCACAGCTAGCCACATGGAGTTAAAATTAAAACTCTAAAAATAGGCGCACAACACAACCCATTCTTGTAGGAGTACATTTTATATTAGCTCATGCCTGGGAGTTGCGGTTAGTCAGAATTAGAAGGAGGAAAGAGAAGAAGGGAATTAGTTTTTTTTTTAAAATTTGTTTTAGAGTTTTGAGAATTCTTGGAAATGGTGAAAAGAGTGATGAACATGTACTAGGCCTTTGGTTTCTTGAATTCTAGTTCTATTATGGAACAAAATAATTGTTGTTTTCTTCATCATTACACAAGAAGACAATGCCAATGTTGTACACTAACACAACAAATACAGACAGATTTAGAGGAAGAAGAAACAAGAAACTGTTTCAATTCCACAAGAGTTGTTATGGCTTCTAGCTGTTCCAAGATTTCACCAATCATTTCCATTTTTGTTTTCTTTCTCTTCTCTGTTTGTTCTGTTTTGTCACTAGAAACAGAAAACTTCCACTTAGCCAACCAAACTTTTAAGCCAGGTGATGAACTTCAGAAGATGAAAATGATTAAATCTCATCTCATGAAAATCAATAAGCCTTCCCTCAAGACAATTCAGGTATTATATTGCCAAATTCCCAACTCTTTTCTATCTTTATTTTTCTTGTCTTAATAAATATCTGAATTGTACTGATGCAGAGCCCTGATGGAGATATTATAGATTGTGTATTATCTCATCAACAACCAGCTTTCGATCACCCTCATTTGAAGGGCCAAAAACCATTGGTATTTTAACTTTATCTTTTTTTTTTCTTTCAAGTATCTGAAATTAATAAATCGCATTCATCCATTCCGGAAGATTTTATTTATGTGGCAGATCTCTGCTTAAGTAATTTTATCATTCATGGTGCTAATATTTCAAATATCTGATGATTAAACGAAAAAAGCTTTAAAAATGATTTTTTAAACTTGTAGTATTCAAGATTTCAAAATGTTAAATGATTTTGAATATTTTCTCCTATATTGTAGGAACCACCTGAGAGGCCAAAAGGGCACAACTCAAATTCTATGGAATTCGAAAATTTCCAGCTTTGGTCCTTGTCTGGAGAAACATGTCCAGAAGGAACAATTCCAGTACGAAGAACAAAAGAACAAGACATTCTAAGAGCTAGTTCCATTCGAAGATTTGGTCGAAAAATTAGAAGACCAATTCGTAGAGACACTACTAATAATGGCCATGAGGTTTGTGTTTTTCTTAACTAGTTTTTAGTTTATTTCAATAACTTTTGCTCGATTTACTTTCATATTAAACTATTCTATTTTCAGAATATTATTTCAACAACTTTAAGTAATTTTTTTGTATGTGGTTACTTTGACATGTTTTTGTGATCAAATGTTTGTCAGGTTACTATATTTGGTCTATGCCGACTTTGATGTTTTTTCCCTTTTCCATATTTCACTAATTTCCAAAGGCCTTTGCTTTGTCAATCTCCATTCATCTATTTCTACATTCAAATAATAGCCCAATAAACTTTATCATCAAAAATCAAGATTTGCAATTTTGAGATGCCCCATCTATTCCTCCTCATAAAATAAAATATTTATATATTTAAATTAATTTTCCTCTTAATTTTCTTTAAAATAGCCTCTTTTCCCTTTTTTTTCTCCCTCTTAAATTTTGTTTCTTTTTCTATTTTTGAAAAAAAAAAAACAGCATGCAGTAGGATATGTAACTGGAGAGCAGTATTATGGAGCAAAAGCAAGTATAAATGTGTGGGCACCTAAAGTTACCAACCAATACGAATTCAGTTTATCTCAAATGTGGGTTATTTCTGGTTCATTTGGTGATGATCTCAACACCATTGAAGCTGGTTGGCAGGCATGTTCTTATTTCTTTCTTCACTTTATGTTATGTGCACGAAACATTAATATAAAATATTATGCGGTCATATAATATAATCAGAAATTTCGTTAGAGTATATAAAATATTTACACTATCAAATTAAATTGACCTAAAACAACAAGTAATTTTTAGTATCAAGCCTGATATAATAACTTAACGAAGAGGTTTCTATCTTGTTCTAGCTCTATGTGACCGCATTCACGGTTTATTTTCCCTAATTTATTCATAGATCATTTTTAAATAAAAAAGGGTTCACTGTTTTAAGATATTTTTATAAAAATTCGAAGCTTCACCAGTAAGTCAATTCCATCATAGTGAATCATATACATTAAGATTTTATTAAGAAATATAATTGAAGAAAATGTAAATTGGTAAAGATATTGTTTTTTCAGTACTTTTAAGGAAAACGCGGTTTCTCCGATTTAAATGTGAAATGTACTCCAAAGGGTGGATAGTACTCAAAGAGTGAACCATTTTCTTTAGTTTCATTTAAAGCATCCATTAAACCTTCAGCTACCTTTCAAAATCAAAGAATCGATAGAGTAGTATATTTCTTTTTCTGCTGTGCANTTCAGACCAATAATAAAATAGCAATTGGGGCAGCAATTTCTCCAACATCCTCTTATAATGGTGGCCAATATGATATCAGCATCTTGATTTGGAAGGTAATTACACTTTTATTAAAGAAAAAAAAGGGCTGTAGGAAAAATTATAATTTTTTTCTTTCCTAAAAACTTTGCCTTTTTACCCCCATAAGATTGTTAATTATAATTTCAAAAACGAATTAGTTAATAGATTTTAAAAAAACTCTTTCAACCGAAAACGAAGATGATCATAATTGAATGCGTATATTTTTTATTTTTGTTCAACCAAACCCCTTTCTTTGGCGCGGCTTTGGTAATTAGAAATTTAGAATCGATGGTATTATCTTCTCTCTTTTTTCATTTTTTTCCCTAGTCCTTTTGTCTTTTCTTCCTACTTTTTTCTTGTATTTTATTATAAGCTAGCTAACTAAGTTTCTTCAGTTGAGGTCCAATGTTAAAATGCTTCATTTAAATGGGTATTCACTTATTCGTGCAGACAGAAAATGGTTCTGAATTATTCATTTAATAGGTTGTTCAAAAATTAAAAATAAGATTCACAGTTAAGGTAGGGATAAAGGCAAATATGATTTTGACATGAATTTATACATCATGCTTGCATGTGTGTATGTATAAACCAAAAGGGGAATCTTAAAGTAGCATTCATCGTATATTATTCAGTGGAAGTAATCATTTTGTTTGTGCTTTTTTTTTTTACCCCCACTTTGTAAGATTCTCTTGACTCTTCTTTCCCAAGCAAATTAAAGCCTTCTCTGACCCATTCACTTGTTATTATTTCACTTTGCCCCCCACTTCATAATTAGCTATTAAAATCTCATCCTTTGACTTAAAATTTGAGGCATTCCAAATAAAAGGCAATAGACAACATTATAGCTGCATGTTTCGTTACACCTTTTCCTCAATCTAGCTATAAAGATAAATCATCTCCATTAACTTCTTTTCTTTCTCTTTCGTCGCAATGAGTGTATTTCAAATACTCCTAGATGATTTATCATAATTAATTTCCTTTATTCCTCCCCCAAAAACCTCTATACATTGGATGGTTAGTGAATTATAGTGGACTAGACTAAAAACTTACTATGAGGAAATAAACGGAAGATCGAACTGTTAATTGTTCGTATTCTATACCCAATGGGCCTCTTCACTGAGACAGTAACAGAAATTTACAAGCTACTTTAATTTGAAGATGTAGGTTAAGATAAGGAAGATAGCTAAAACCGAGATAATTTTGCCTATAATCTTAATTACTTTTATTTTTATACCATCAAGATAACCAATTACTTACTTGATTATATATATATATTCAGGATCCAAAGCATGGACATTGGTGGCTGGAATTTGGATCAGGAGTATTGGTAGGATATTGGCCATCATTTTTATTTACACATCTTAGGAGTTCAGCAAGTATGATACAATTTGGAGGTGAAATTGTGAATAGTAAAGGAGGCAATGGATTTCACACATCCACACAAATGGGAAGTGGTCATTTTGCTGGAGAAGGTTTTGGAAAAGCTTCTTACTTTCGGAATTTACAAGTCGTCGATTGGGATAATAGTTTAATACCATTGTCTAATCTCAAAGTCTTGGCTGATCATCCTAATTGTTATGATATTCAAGGTGGGATTAATCGTGTTTGGGGTAATTATTTTTATTATGGAGGACCTGGAAGAAACCAACGTTGTCCTTAAAGAGATAAAAGAGAGTAAATGCTTCAAATTTTCATTTTTACTTTTTGGTTCTTAGTTTTCGGTGATTGGGGTGTACTTTTTATTCTTTTCATTGTATTCTTAAGCTTAACAAGTGGTCAATTAAATTAGTTATACCACCTTAAACTAGGGGAGTCGTGTAAATTTTGGCAAAGAGAATAGTGAATATAATATATAGTATGTTTATTGCTGTGTTAATTAATTTTCGCTCTTTTGTATTTTCTATTTTTTTTCCCTATCATGAAGAGTGTCATTTTCCAATCGGAAAAAAGGGCCAAATATATCCCTGTACTATCAGAAAAGGTTTAAATGTATCCATTATTATACTTTGAATCCAAATATACCATGTCGTTATACTATTGGTTCAAATATACCTCTTTTTCCTTAAGTTTGTCCAAAGTGGACATTCAATCCTACGCGACACTGATATTTAATGAGGTGGATGCCACATGACTTGCCACCTCAGCGCCCCTAACCCATTTTATCCCTCCTTTCTATTTTTTTTCCACCACTAAAATTTCCTTCTTCTCCACCACTATTGTTACCATTATCGCTACCATGAAAAGTATTGTATTTCAAATTTTAGTCTTTTATATATGGATTAGGAGCGCTTAGGTGGCATGTCATGTGACATCCACCTTATCAAATATCAGTGACACATGGGATTGGATGTCCATCTTGGACAAACTTAACAGAATATTGGTATATTTGAACCAATAGTATTACGACAAGAGTATGTTTGGACCCAAAATATAACGAAGAGTATATTTAAATCTTTTCTCATAGTACATGGGTATATTTGACCCGTTTTTTCAATTAAATGTTGATACTTAGCTTCTAGTAATTTGATACCTGTCATGCAAAGTTCCGACATCAAAAGTCTCTAATATGTTTTTCTTAAAATATACATATTCCTTACGTCATGACATAAGTGACACTTCCTGTTTTGCGAAAATCAAACTAAATGACTGATTGTTAACTGTTTTATTCACCATTAATGAGAGGATATTACAACTTATAATACTTTTTATGTAAATCTTTATTTAGAAAATGAATGATAGTAGTATTATATATGTCCAATTTAACTATAAAAGTAGGTTAATTGGCTTTCAAAATAAAAAGAAAGTGACAAATTAAATAACTAGAGACATGCATATGGAGTAAGTGTTTTCAGGCCGAAATTAAGGGTAGGCGGCACAAGGAACAATAGTGTTACGTACCCACATTTAAAGTTTAAACACTAAGATTACACTCATAATCATAACCATCATTTCTAAATCCACACACCAGTAATCAAGTAGTAGTAATTATTGTTAATTAGTACGTAGCATCAGTTTTATTTCTTTGACAAAGCTAAATTAAGTTAGAAATTCCAAGAGCCAAGTAATTTTCATAGGAAATTTTACCATCAATTAGCGCCTTTAAGAAATGGAAAGAGAAGAGGATGGCAGAAAACAGACTTAAATAGGACTACACTTTGGTATTCACTAAGGGTGGCAGGCTCATTACATCTTTACTTGATATACAAGATATTCTGTAGAACTTAATGAATGAATGGAAGATTGAGTAAGAGTAAAGTATAGACCGAAAATGATAATTTATTAGTATAATATTCCTCTCTTAAAGTACTTTGTTTGAAATGAGAGAGTGAATTCACACAACGAAGAACTACTTCTGAGCTACTACTAAAGAGTCCTTTTTTTTCTTTTCTTTTCTTTAAAGATCATAAAAATGAGAAACACAAAATCAAGAAAAAACACTTATCAATAATAAACAGTACAATGACACAATACTTGAGAAGTTGTTTTATACGACAGTCGACATCTTTACAATTTATCTCCTTAATGGTTGCATAGTGGCATATACAAAAGATTAAGGGGTCGTTTGGTAGGCATTATAAGAATAATGCTAAATAAGGTGGATTAGTAATGCATGGATTAGTAATGAATGGGTTAGTAATGCAAGCATTAGTTATACAGAGATTATTTCTTATGCATTGTTTGGTGTGGTGTATTAAATATTAAAATGCATTGCATAATTTTTAAGAAATATAATTATTTACAAAAATGCCTTCCATATTCTTTAACTTAAGGGACTTTAAGGATAATTTTGTCTTTAACCATGCTAATGCATGCATTAATAGCCTTTGTATTGCTAATGCCATGATTTTCTATGCATTAGCTATACATAGAATAATACCAAATAGAGTGTATAACTATTGCTTGTATTAGTTATACATAGGTTGAAAAGGTGTACCAAACAAAGCATTACTAATACACAAAGCTAATGCATGCATTATTTTCTCTAACACACTCTACCAAACGACCTCTAAGAGTTTTAATGGACCTTACACTACGTGAACGTGAATTAGTCGGGTCCCAATGTGAATTGGATACCGGGTTGAAACTTAAACCAAATTTTTTCTGTTTTTTTGGAATAAAATAAATTTATCGACTTTTGTATATTAGTTGTAGGATTTTGTTTTTGTTACTCTTAGGTAGGTGAAGAGTGCTAAAATATATAGGTGGCGGCATACAGTGTTGACTCTGGTACGTGTGATAATTTTTTAATTTTCAATTGGAGCATTAAGGGTATTGATAGATGCCATTAACTGTTCTTCTGCTGCTTACTTAATGAATCCACCAACTTTCAGAGATTGTGATGAATGAAAACAATATTGATCTCAAGTTCTGATTGGGAGGGCCACTTGAGAAGCATTCAATTTTGCAATTAAAATTTGGAAAAATGTGAGGTCGGTATAATATTCATTTCATAGGGATATGAAGGATGACATTTGTTGACCTTTGTTATATAAATTGTGACAATGAAGTGGAAAATAATGAGAGATTAATATTTAAATCACACCATAAGCAAAAGATGCTAGATGAATCCTTTTCATTTGTTCAAGTGTTAGTGGGTAGAGCTTTCAATAGTGCTAGATTGAATAGTCCAAGTGCATACTTGCACACTGGCCAAATATTAAATACACTGCTAACTTAAATAACTATTCATACAATTGTTTAAATTAAAAATAACCGACGAATATATAATATATGTATAATTCATATGTATAATTAATGTATAATCTATACATACTGTAAAAAAAAAAAAAATAATGAATTCAGATGGCTATTCGTGTAAACATCCCTAAAATACATAGATTAAATTGTGATGGACGGTCAATGTTGATAGATCATATTTATACCTACGAAAGTTCCATCAACTCATATCTTGCATTTGAGGGTGACTTCTCATACGTATCTTTGCACATATTAAAATTAGTTGTATGTTGGACATTCAAGATATCATCAATGTCCACGTTCTCTAGAACATTTATAGGGAATAACGTCATCAGCTAGAAAATTCTATATAATCTGATTTCATTTGGATATTATCATTTACACGATAATATATATATATATATATATATATATATATATATAGCATGGACAATTAGTAACTCGTATCTATATGTGTGGACTAAAATAAAATTTTGTTGAAATTTGACCACTAGCTTGATAAAATTTGAACTCAAATTTCAATAGAGAGGCAGACTGTTCACCTCAAACTCTCAAACAGTAACATTTGCAAATTTGTATTGAACTTATTCCTAATTAGTTGAATAAAAAGGTATGTGCTAACATTTCCTAAAAGAATCTTGAGTTCTATTCTTTCTAAAGCAAAGATAAATTTACTATTTAGATGACTCTACATTGACGTTTATAGTGTCTCCAACTTTAATGATAAAACTAATTGTTTTTTTTATATGCGGTATGAAGTGGAGGGAAATGAAAAAATTCAAAAAGATTTATTTTTCAAAAGAATTTTGTCCTATAGGAAGAGGAACAAACATTTGTTGGGTTTAAATAGAAAAGCAATTGTACTATTTCGGAAAATGAGTTGATAAGAAGGGAAGCTTGCGATGTCGTGATGATTAATTGATCAATTTTTTGAACCAATAAATAATTTAATATTAATATTTTTTGCTCGTTTTTTATAGCGATCATATAATTTTTTCCTCTGTTTTATTTTTCCAGTCAGTTTTCGTAAACAATCATTAGAGACATTTTTTGTAAACAACCACCAGAAAGGTTGCAACTTTTAAGTTACACCTCTTCGTTTGGGCAAACATATCGGCTATAAATACTTCGCGTTTCCAAAGATTCTCATTAAAAAAATTATCACTTTCTTCTTCTGCATTACTTTCAAATAAAAAGTTAGCGTACAGTGATTTGTTGTCACTATTTGAATTTGTTGATTACTAGTGTTTGAGGTATCACTATACAAGTGAAGTTGGATCCGTTCTATTTTGAGAGGAAATAATCAAAACTTGTACCGTGAGAGAATTAAGTTTCTTAAGAATACGCGGTGAGATCAATGATTTTGAATCTTTTCTTTTTCGTTTTTTCTTTCTGTTTTATGGTCTCAAAATTAGTTTCGAATACAGAAAGCTAACAAGAATTTTGTATAGATCTTATTCCTTAGGTAAAGAAATATGTATACCAACCTTTGCTAAAGCTCCAAAATAGTACCTTGAGATTTATTCTGCCTAAAACAACCGAAATTTTCCATTATAATGACTCAATTTGAGGATAGATTTTGCTTTAATTTCACATAATACTTAATATTATGGTTCGAGTTGTGCATTTTAGCTACTTAAGTTGTTCCCCTTTGAGGACATACCGAGGGTACTTTTAATATACCATTATTTATTGTACATATTTTAGAACGGAAACTATGTTCTTGATTTAAAGAGATTATATTCGATTTTAACAGGTTCCGCAGAAAGTATCTAATCCTATTATCCAACCCATATAAGAGATTTTCCTCCACTAGGAGTAAGTGCACATATAGCCATTTTTAGAGATACTATTTAGGAATTAGCCAAATACTTATTTTATCCTGAAATTTTAAACTAAAAATCTTAACTTTAGGATAACTCAGGACATTTTTGTCCTCAAAAATTGAACTGAAAACTGAAATTCAGGACGCGCTGGCTAATTCCTAAATAACAGCCTTTTAGAGTGGTTACCTGGTGTCATTTGTACGACAAATGTAGGACAATCCATTCTTTTGGATGAATGACACATTTACCCACAAAAATAAAATTATTTACCCTTATCTACCCATTTGCTTTTCTACCCATCAAACTAATTATATTTCCTACCCATAGTAGTTTTTGTGGGGAATTTTCTCCT